TAGATTATTTTGAAATAAAATTAATAGTTTATAGATCATTTTGAAAGAAAAAATTGTTTCTAAATTAAATTAAAATAAATCACATAATTAATAAATTATTTATTAAATTTTGTAATATTTCATTAGAACAAGAATGCCTCAAAATTATGACTTAGCTCGGTCACTTTTTATTCCTCCATCAATCCATTTAAGTGTCCCGGACACTACCAAAAACCACCAGATTCCCATTTTGAGCCTTCACCCACCAACTCCAATAGCAACATTTTGACTAGAACCCAATGAATAGAAAAGGACTAGGTCTTTTTTTTTTTTTTGGTGAAAAAAAGGACTAGGTCTTTGAGTTTGCCATAGAACGAGTTGTCTTTGATTGATGGATGGTCCCTTCTCAAGAAGATGATTGGCATTGGGGGAAATGTATAACTTGTTTAATAATCTTTTTATTTTTATTTTTCTGTGATTAATTAACAAAACTTTAAAAGATGTATAGTTTGTTTGAACAGTTTTTTATTTATGCAATTTGATCCTTTTATCCATTAATTTTGGGAAATTTTAATATTTCCTTTTCTCTAACCAAACAATAGAAAATGTTTTTAATTTTTATGATATTTTAAACAATAGAAAATAAATTTTAGAAAGGAACATGTTTGTCAAGTAAAAATATTTTCTAACATGAAATAATTTTTCATGAATCAAATAAACCTTAAAACTGAAATCATATCAATTTTTTTTTTAGCTAACATAAGTCCTTAATCTTTTGATTAGCTAATTTCATTGGTACTAGGTTAAAAAAAAAAAAAAAAAAAGAGTACCTAACAAATCATTTTTTCTATAAACCTTGTACGAAGCTCCATCTAAAAATAATAGGTATGGCCCACCAAAATTGAGACTTTGTTAGGTTAATTGGTTAATACAAGTCAAGTCAAACTTTTGTAACTTCTTTGGTTTGGTACTAATTATATCCTAACAAAAGATGAAGCCATTTTTTTTATTTAAACCAAAAGCATCAACATCATGGCATTGAAAACTTTATATATAGAGTGATTGACTTTCACTTTTAGTTCCCTGTAACACAAAGTTTTTCAAAAATGGGAACTCTTCACTAAAAATCAAAACTGTCGTCTTAGACTTCCTCTAAATCAACATCATGATTAGGTTTTGGTTAAAAAACCATTTTGAAGAAACCAAAAGAAAGCTACCACCCACCACATCTCTTCTTCATATCTAGGAAACGCTCAACGCGTCAATGTGACTAAAATTCAAACCCCAACACGGAACAAATTAATCTCCCCAAGTCAAACGTAATTGAGTTGCTTGCCTTGTCTTTTCTTTGAAGACTAAAAATTGCTTGGATTTTTGGTAATCTAACTTTTGAGATTTTTTTTTGACAATAGGCAATGGACTAACTTTTGAGATTGATTAATTAGGTCCCTAATCTCTTAATTATTTCAAATGTCCTGTAATATTTTTGAAGGGGTGTTTTATATAAAAGTTTTAAGTTAGTAGTTTGTACTAACTAGAAGATTAAAATTATTTAGATCATAAATAATAAATGTCATTTTTGGAACTCTAAAAAGTTAAATTTATTAATAAATAAAATTTGTTTTATAAACTAAATTTAATATTCAAGTTTTGAAACCAACACTTAAAAAAATTAATTTTTTTACATATAGTAAGCTAATGTAAAAAATATACTCGCAAAATCATTTTAAAAAAATTAATTTCAAAATATGTAAAAATTAACACAAAAATTCCTTAATTGTAAATAACCGAAAAGAAATATCACCGTCGGGATAGGGAAATTTGTCGAGAAGAAAAGAAAATTTGCCGGTCTAAAAAGGGAAGAAAAGAAAATTTGACGGATAAAAAAGCAGGCCCATAGAAATGCCCCACCAAATCATAAAAACATCATTTAATTTTAAACTGAGGTTGGCAAAGTCCAAGCCCACTCGAATCAAGAAGCCCACCGAAGGTTTCCTGCATGTCTCCAAATTTCTTCGCCGTGTCTGACCCTCTCTTTTGACGAAAGTAGGAAGAAAGTGATGTGTGCAAACATTTTATTTTATTTTATTTTGTGTGTGTGTGTGATAAATAACATGCCGATATCTGGGGTGTAATGACCCTTCTTTATGCCCCTATGCGCTTCTCCCTGCAATGGCCGGCATCAGCTAGACCAATTTGCTGATTGTCCGAATTCCATTTTAGTTGTATTCTTCTTTCTGTTTGATTCAGTCTCAAATCTCCACTGAATTTGAGATTGGATCGTCCTGTTTTTAATTTTTTGTTGGTTTGAGTCATCTGGGCACCGACAGAAATCCTTGATTTGGAGTTGCAGTGAAGGAAGTTGTTCGATTTTGGATTTTTAAGGAAGTGGGTCGATCAGAAATTGGGTCTAGATTGGTGGGTTAAACTCTAGGATTGTTGGGTGTTTCGTTCGTCGGATTTTTTTTTTTTTTTTTTTTTTTGGATTCAATTTCTGGGTTTGATTTGAAATGGTCTGTTTCCATACCTCAATCTCGGTCTGCAACTCCGTTGACCAGCCCCCGATAACAATCATGTCGAATTTGCTGAACTCGAATGATTTGTACCCGAAATCAAGGCACAGTAGTCAGGTTCTGAGGAACAAGAAGGTACCCAATTCACCATGCTGCCTGAATATCCCTGTTTGCGAAAGGTCTCGATCTGCTGTAGTTGATGTTGTGATCCTGGTTGCTGTTATTGCTGCTTGCGGGTTCTTGCTATTTCCTTATGTCAAGTTTGTAGCCCTTCAATCAACTAATTTTATTGGGGCTGTGTTTTATTTGGTTAAAGAGGAGATCATGCAAGCTCCCATGATTTATGGATCCATAGGAATAAGCTTTTTCTGTGCTGCAATGGCTGCCTGGCTTGTGCTCCTCTGTATGACTAGGAGATGTGGGAACCCGAATTGCAAGGGGCTTAGGAAGGCAGCTGAGTTTGATATTCAGTTGGAGACAGAGGAGTGTGTAAAGAATTCCAGCACTGTGGGGATAGATGGGGTCAAGAAAGGACTTTTTGAGCTACCGCGTGATCACCACAGGGAATTGGAAGCTGAGCTAAAGAAGATAGCACCGGTGAATGGAAGAGCAGTTGTCATTTTTCGAGCAAGGTGTGGATGTTCTGTTGGGAGATTGGAGGTTCCAGGGCCTAAGAAGCAAAGGAAGATCAAGAAGTAGGATTTTGATATATAACTGATAGAGAAAGGATGACGCAATACAGAAAATAGTCATAATGCAGAGAGGAGTGCCTTCTCTGGTCAGTTTTAATCAGAACTTCTTTGTCTTTAAATAAGCCCCTGATGGCATTAAGCTTTGAGGACTATATACAGTTGGTTATAGTGGAGGATATAAGAATCCTTTCTTTCATCCATTTTAAACAGTATTTCATAATGATTTGCTTCTTAAGGTTTATATTACACGTCCTTCATATTGTGCATCCTTAACTTTACATTTTATTTATCTAATCATAAGTTCCAAACTATAATAGGTATCAGATTATTCTAATTCCTGAACGCATTGCTTAGTAGCAGTTTCAGAATATGTTGGGAGAATATTGTTGAATCCATTGTTAAGTATGTTGAATTTTTTACTTGACATTAGAAAGTGGAAACTTTTATGTTCCATCACAGCACGTTAATTTCAGCAAAAGCCTTTTGTTTTGCTAATGGAAGTGCTGGATTCTGCATATGACTAAGTAGAATGTGTTCATCATACGGCATAGTTCATGTGTTAAATATTTTTCCTCATCAATGATGATCCTCCTTATTGATCAGAGAATGTCGAGCTATATAAGGATTATTGTAGTTTCTTTATAATCTCTTGTTGTGATGTGTTGCCGCACACCTTGCATGAGATTGATTAATTTCTTTGTTTTCTTTTACTTTGAATCTTTTATTAATGTTTCAAGTTTCTTTTAGACACAGTCATTGTTTTGCTTCTATGGTTATCCACTTCCTTGGCAAAATATTATATTTCTTTCCAGTTAACTTGTCTTTCCCTTTGAAATCAGCATTATTCACCACATATGGTTGGACAGAAAAATGTACTTTCATTTTACTCTCTCTTAGATTTTTCTTTCTGATTGTCGGTCATTATGTAGATCCAGATTCTTCATATGAGGTTAACCTGTGAGCTATAATTCCGGAATGGAAAAAAAAACATCCAGAAGTATGGTAGGATTAAAACATTACTTTTAGTAATTTTCCATCATTTTTTAACAATGTTTTTTCCAATTCCCTACTCTAACAAACTTTTTGGTTCTATTTCTTGAATTCAATCCTTCATCTCTAGTCCTTCAACAAAATAGAATCTCCTGTGTGTAACTGACAACTCTTATCTAACTCGATATCAGGATTGCAACATCCTCTGCAATTTTTTTAGTCAGCAGATTTTTAGTGTTCACATTTCATAATAACAATTTCAATTACATTGCACTTCCTTTGCCAGTTTTCTTCTTTAATTCTGATGATATGAACTGAACTCTGTCTTGCTAGTAAACAAGAGAAGCGGGTTTTCTGTGTCGTTCATTTGAAGCATTAATATATAGAACAACTCTTCAAGTCTCCAATTCATATTACCTTCACTGTGTTTCGCTTGATGCCCTTGCGCCTTTTGGGATAGACATCTTCCTCATTTATTATTGAAGTTTTTGATCTGTATATTGTTATATTTTATCTTGCATTGCACACTTGTTTGGTATCCAAATTCCATTAAGATCAAGCATCAACGATGGTATAGAGTTTGCATAAAAGGGTTAAGATCCAAACATTATTGTCTTTTTCAGCAGAAGGGCATATCTACGTCTTAGCCACATGATTAATTAGCCAAATAAAAATAGAAAAGAAAAAGCCACCTTCCTTGCATATCTATGCGCAGCCATAGGAGATGGTGACTGCCCAACAAAGCATGCAACTTGCATAAGATCATTAGGCTCTTCTCCACCTTAAACAGCTGAAAGAATTACTGGCCTTTCATATTTTTTCTTGACAACAAGGAACAATCCAAACAGTAATAAATACAGATTCTTACGTGAGAGGAACTTGTTTTGTCCTTAAATCACTAAATTAAAGAATGCGTCTCTTTTTCTTTTATTTCCAATGTGTTGAACTTCAATTTTGGTTCCTCAACTTTAATATGCACCTCCTAATTTGATCCCAAAACTAAGTAAATTCCCTAAAATTTTAAATTTTGGCTCTTTTTGGTTCTTTCTTTGAATTTTTGTTTAGATAGCACATTAATTAACATCAAAAGCTGGTTTTCCATTCAAATCAATACAATGAAAATTTTAGATGGCAAAAATTGATAACGTAGACAAAATTCATCAACTAAAACTCATTTTTAACCTTTTACTTTAATAAATTTGTAAGTTTTAGCCCTTCATCTTATACTATAACATTTTTAGCTTTTTACCTAAATAATTTTTTAGGTTTTAGCCACTTACCTTATATTATGATAGTTTTAGCTCCTCACTTATACAAGTTGAAGAAAACAACTCTTACTTAAGGTCAGGTTATAACATTCCGTTAGTTCTGTTAACTGATTATTAACTCTGTTAATTGATTGTTAGCGTTCCGTTAGTATTTCATTAATGAAATTAACAAATAAAATTGAATTTAAATTTTATGTTTTCTATAACGGAATGTTAATAGATGCTAACAATCAACTAATAGAACTAACAGAATATTATAACTTGACTTTAAGTAAGGATTATTCTTTTCAACTTATATACTTTGAGGGGTTAAAAGTGTTATAATATAAGATGATAGTTAAAACCCATAAATTTATTAAAATAAAGGGCTAAAAGTGTTATAGTGTAAAGTGAGAGACTAAAACCTATAAACTTTTTAAGGTAAAGGACTAAAAGTAAGTTTTTGCCAAATTCATCATCCATATTAGTTTTAAAACTAATAACTTATCTAATCATAAAATTATTATTGCACTTGTGACATTAACTATGATGAAAGTGCACCAATAACCTTGACCTCTTTGTCAAGGGTTAAAGCTATAACTATAGTATTATTGTAATTATTCTCCAATCTTTTAATTTTCCACCATTCAAAAGAAAAATCATAAAATTATTATTAAGTTAAACCTCAATTTTAGGTTTTGGTTTTTAAACTAAATAAATCTCTATTTTGCCACAAAAAAGAGCCAAAAAATTAAAACTTTAGGAACTAAATTAAAAAGTTTAAAGAGCAACTCAAGGTCATTACCAAAGTTGAGGGACCCAAATTTGAGACTTACACTCTCCTATGTCATTGAGTCCTTAATTCCAAAGGAATATAGAAGTTCAAGTCCTCAATTGAAAAATAGCGAGAAGTTAATGTTTTTTATTTGTATATTTTTGCGGAAAAATACTAAAGAAATATTGTATTTACAAATTAGAAAAAATTAGAAAAAAAAAAAAAATCTGATCCATTCTCCTACATTCAGCTGCAATCCGGATCTTGTGTTAACGAATCATCAGCCCCACCCGATTCCCGACCCGAACTTGGGACATCCACATGCATAAAGAAAACAAGAGAAGCGACCGCTCTACTTTCCGTCATTCCCTCACTGGCACCGTCGCCGTCACTCTCCTCCACAGGCATTGCGAACCTGCAAACCGGGCAAGACCCATGCATCCCCAGCCATTTTTCTATACAATCCGAGTGAAACGCATGCTTGCACGGCATCTCTCTGGCTTCGCCGCCAGCCACAAACTCCTCCAAGCATATCGTGCAGTCTTTTCCAATCTCCTCAACAACTATCCTCGGCATGGCCTCGATCGACGCTTTCGAAGCAGGCATCGTACCGGGTTTGTCGAAATCTTGGGTTGTGGGTGCAAAGATCGCCATGATCACTTCCACAAACTCGATAGGATCCTCCATGGTAACATCGGCAGACATGATTCCGGCTTCAACCTGGTTTAAGGGCTGTTTATGAAAATTACAGGGTTAAGAATTTGAAGGGGACGTATATTTATAAGGGTGTAGGGTATTGGGGGCCATGGAAACCTCAAGAAAGTACTTAAAGGTCGTCCTCGTCCCGAATTCGTGGACAACAGGGAGAAGGAAAACCTCTTCGAGTGAAACCAAGCCCAAAGGTTGTGTTATCCCCGCGTTACAAAATCTTAGCAATATAGGTGATAATTAATAAAATAATTAATATTTATTATTTAATATATTAAAATTAATTTATAAATTAATATTTTTTATTTATTATAATAATTATTTAAAAAATTATAAAAAATAATTTTTTTTATCTATACTTTAAAGACATAAGATAAAAATGTATTTATTATATTTTTTTATCAATAATATATATACTAAAATTAAAAATTAATATTAATTTTATTAATTATCTAATAAAAAAATATTTATATATTATAAAAGTTAAAATTAATACTAATTTTTTTTTATATAAATTAATATATAAAATATACATTTAAAACTTTTTAAATTTATGTTCTTAAAATATAGATTAAACAAATTTAATAATAAAATATTAATTAAATTAAGTAATTGTTATATCAAGTTAACAAAATATTAAGTGACTACAATTACACCTGAGCCAAGCCCACGTTCCTCTCTTAGCTAAGCCCGGTTTTAAATCATAGGATCCAGCCCACTACGCTGCGTTTGAATCAAACCGACAGAGAGTACGTTTTACTCCGTTCAGTTTTATCTGTTCTCCCAAATCCCATTCTGGAAGCAAAAAATCCTGATTGCATATGACACAGTGAACGCAGGGAGGAGACCTGAAACTGCAACTCTTTGTACAGATTCTTTGGATTCTCCGAACCCTAGGTCGCCGGACCTCCCGGATACTCTGATTATGGGCTCTTCGGCACCGCATCAAGTCGACATCTTTGAGGTTTACCGACGATACTGCGGTAATCTTAATCCCTCCCTTATTATTATTATTATTATTATTATTTTGCGTTTATTTTCACGGTTTCTTATTTTTAATCTTTGGATTTGTTATCCTGTTTGATCTTTGTTTTTAATTTGTCGATTGAAGGCTTTTCGATGTTTGCGGTTTGAATTTTTGGTGTAAAGATTGAATTTCTGGTCGACTTTGGTTTGGTTTCTTAAATACTGTTCTTGGTTGATTAATAATTTTATTTAAGAGAGCTACCTAACTCTATATGTTGGAGCCAAAAAGATTCATATTTGTACAAAAGAGAATGTTAATTATGTTGAATAAAAAGAAAAGGAAAGGAAAGAAAAAAATGGAGATGTTCTAAGCTTGATTTTTTAAAAGATGGGAATCCAGCAGAGGTTTTAAAATTTTCAATTCGCTATAATGCTTCAAAACTTATTTGTTCAGCTGCTTAAGATGTGAGATGTTAGTAGTGGACAACCATGTTTTTTTGGGTGGTGGTAGGAGGGGTGGGGTTTAAGAATACCTTTATTAAAATTAGAAACTCTTTGCCTGTCATTTGGTTAACTTTAAAATTTTCTTGCAGACATTAGATCAGCAAGCAAACGTCTTTGTATCGGAGGTGACAGACAGGATGATGAATTAAAAGAAGCTAGTTTTCCAAGGGATGCATTGAACTGTCTCTTGAAACTGGTGGACTCAAATTTGCATCTGTGGTATGCATCTCTCTGATCTATATATACTATGTTGTTGTGCTTTACAATTGTTGCTTGGTAGGTTAGATATTGGCTGATGAGAGACTTACTATTCCAAATGCATATGAACTACAACTAATATGATTTTTTTATTTTTTAATTTTTTTTTAATTTTTTAATGTCTATGCTACCATCAAATTGTTAGTTTCCATTTAGCCTGGTAGCTCCCTCCAATACTTCCTCTAAAAGGAAACTAGAAGTCTTGGGTTCAAGTCTAAGAACTGGGATGGGATGGGATGGGTAAAAGGATGAGAGAAGGTCTTCTCCTAGTTATTGGAGTAAGAAAAAGCAAAAGTAGTGTCACATACTGTTTGAACCTATCATGGCCATATACAAAATATAGGCTTTTTCTCTAGAGTGGGGGGACAGGAGGAAAGGACTTAGCCAATGAATGTTTGGTGTTAGTTTTAGGAATTATTGTTTCATTCAAGCATTTTAAATGCTCATGGTGTTCTGTTTGACAGGACTTCAATTTTCAGTGAACTTCTCAGGTTGATGTCACGGTTAGACTTCATGGTGGGATTCCATTTTACTAATTTTCTTGATGAACAGATTTTAGCAAAATAAAGAAGTTCCTTTTTATTTATTTGTTACATTTGTCATATCCTCCAGTTTATTTATTGCTGATTTGACCTTGACTTTTTTTCTTATAGGTAGACCTAGAATTCTCTCACTTCTATGATTTTGTTTTCTTCATTTGCCGTGAAAATGGTCAAAAGAATATTAGTAAGTACTTGTATTTTGCTTATGGATTCATGAAAATTGATGTTACCTTTGAATGTATATAACCTACTGATCTATAGTAAATTTTTCTTTGTTCTTGCATTGTTAACCTTTTTTATTTCACGTCATTGACAGCTGTAAGCAGAGCAGTTACTGCATGGAGATTAGTCTTAGCTGGCAGATTTCGTTTACTTAACCAATGGTGTGACTTTGTGGAGGTAGGCTAGAATAAGCTGCCAGTGCCTGATTCCAGTTGGTGTTGTTTCTATTTCTTTGGTTTTACTTTATGTCCTAGTTAAGTTGACTGCTTTGAGAATGCCTAGACATAGCATGCTATCCTGTGTGTGCCAATACTTGATTTTAGATTATTCTGTTGATCTTGGTGCAATTTAATTCAAATTCAAATGTTAAGGTATACTCTCAAGTCATGGTTTCTTTTTTTTCAAAAGGAAAATAAAGTTGTTTTCTTTTCAGAAAAATCAGCGGCATAATATCTCAGAGGATACTTGGCAGCAAGTATTAGCTTTTAGCCGATGTGTATATGAAAATCTAGAAGGGTATGATCCTGAAGGTATTAATTTTCCTATATCTCTCTTATTAGTTCTGTTGTTATTTTGTGTTCTTTGATTGTTAGTTGGTCACTGTTGCAGGTGCCTGGCCTGTTCTGATAGATGACTTTGTTGAGCATATGAGCAGGTTTGGTTTCTATGTTCTCAAAAACTTGCAGCTTACATGCTCTTCTGTTTTCTTTTCTTGCCCTTATTTTAGTTTATTTCAGGTTTTTACATCATATTTCAGTTTCCTTCATTGTTATATCATCATTTTTTCAGTTTTATTTGTAGTCATGCCATAATTTTTTAGAACTATGTAAATGAGTTTGTTTCGCTATCTGTCCCTGATATTTTGATAAGGGTGTTTCAATTATCCGCTCCTAATCTGTTCAATATATATATATATATATATAGTTTTGGCCTTTGGGAATTGAGAAAGTGGACTCTGAACATGATGGTGCAATTGTGAGGACTTTTTACTGTCTAACCTTCATGGAATCCTGGTAAATTACTTTTTGGAGGTGAAAAACATTAATGCATTGTTAATGCATTGTGATCAAATGGGGAAGAAATGGCTGATTCCATCATGTAGGAAAACTATATTCCTGCAAAATTAAGACCCAGAGCCATTATTATATTTGTTATTTTCTTAGTGGTTATGTGGGGGTTTCACCATAAACTTCATTTTCCTTTGGGTATCTCTGTTCATTATGTATCTGTAATAAGCATCCTAGGCAAAACTGTTATAAATGGGGAAAGGGTGAGGAATTTTTAGTTGTCCTAATGTTCGAGAAGAGATGACTGTAAGAGGTGTATGTAGGCTTTGTGATTCTAGTGGTTAACTTCCACATAGTGCTGAGACAAGGAGTTGCTTTTCTCTTATTCTCTTTATTTGAGTTCATCTTGGGGAGCTTGTGGCTTTATGATATCTCCCTTTAAGAGTGACGCAAGGAGTGATTAAGAGTTCTGATTTAAGTCAAAGCACCTTGGATGGGCTGTAAGCATTCATATTATGATCATCTTTGAAACACTTACTCATTCTCATTTATTCTTGCTGTACACTTCCTGATTATATAAGATTGTATTTAACACACTAAATGCCTAAATATCTTCCTTTCCCAATTTTTTCCCTCGTCATGCAGAGTTTCAGTTTTGAATGGAAATGATAACATTTTCTGTAGCTGTGGTGTTTTAGAACCACAGTCATATGCACATGGGAACTCTATGGCTGGTATTTCAACTATTATGAATTTTCATTCAGTCTTGTTCTTTTTAGAAATTACAAACTATTACTGAGGGCATACATACTGTTGCAGGAGAATTGCCTGGACTGAAAAGAAAGTTGCTGGACTTTCAAAATGATGAAATGGAGTGCTCTAACACTTTTTTCTCAGACCATGCAGACCCAAATTGTAAGAGAACCATGTTGACTGTGCATAAACCAATCAACAGGGAGGATAACCCATCTGGGACCTTAGCTGAAGACTGCATGGATGTTGTTAAACTCAGTAGTCCAAAGAGTTGTTCAAAGTCCCCATGTACAGTTGAACGGTGCCTCTCTAAGGGCTTTGCTGGGCTGCTCTCAACTCATTCCTATTTGCCATTTGACAGGGAAAGCAGAGTTTCGTACACATAGTGCTCCCTACCTGAGTTACAAATATAAAGAGCTATCATTTACAAGGTAATGCGAGTTAATCCGTATCTAGCTCTATTGGCTTGTTGGGGGTTTGTGTGTGGGGGGTTTCTAGATTTCCATATGCTTTGGTTTTTGGGGATAATTTTCTACTTTGCTTTTAGGATATGCCGGTGGGGTTCTGCAATTTATTTGTTTGTGTATGTTGTATGCATGTTGTTCTGTTAAAATTGATTGATACATTAAATAAATGGAATTTTCAGCTTTGTCTTTCTCAGCTTAAATTTATGGTCTTTAACTTATTCTTTTGGTGTGTGCCCCTGGAATAAACTCTGCCAACATGTTACAGTGAACCCCTTCAGACATGAACCAGTAGGACGTATTCTCTGATCATGAATTTGTTCTTAAACTAATGAGAATTATGGAAAACATTTTATGATTTTTATCATTAATTATATATATGATTATAACATGCAAGTAACTCGTGGAGATGATCTTGCTTGTGAAGACGGGACTTAACCTTGGCGTTCTACAATCTCTTTGAAATTTGGGGCAGTTGTGATGGCAGCGTCTTAACATGATTCTGATAGTCATAAGCTAATTCTAGAATTCGTTATTACATTTGCCCACCTTCCTCCAAATAATGATGGTTATTTAGAATTCGGGTAAATGTTAGGGTGTGCAAATTTTTATTTTTTATACGTTGTATAATAAATTATAAAATAGTAGATAATCTTTCTCTTTCATTTCATTATATTTCTCATCTTACTTCAAGATTCAAAATTAAGAAATCTAATTTGAAGTTCTAAGTTCTTATCACTTCTTATCACTTGAGACATTACTTATGATAGATAATGTTTCTATTTACTATAGCCTTATGGGGTCAGAATGGAGACTTAGAAGCTAAGTCTACACCATATCGGAAGGGACATCAGAACCAAAGAAAGGAAATTCAACGAATGTTTGGGGATTAAGGGCAGAAAGCATGACCAAGCTAATCACGGAATGTAGAAAACATGAGTCAACTAATCACAATCACAAGTGTATTTGGCAGGAGTAAAGAAAGCATGAAGAAACCAAAGAAACTAGCGATTATGCAACGCAAAGAGCGCGTTCGAACTATTAAGAAAAATATAGCCAAAAATAAAATATTAAGAAAAGCACTCATCATGTCTATAAATGCCAAACCAAATGAAATCTCTGCGTTAAAAACAAGCACAAACGACGAGCACATATAATGGAAATCCTAGCAGAATCCGCATCTTCTTTGGTAATATTTCTCTTTGTTCTTGATAGATATCACATAATGCTCCATCTCCATATAATTATTTGCAATACATCTTACAGTGGTGGCGTAGTCCGGGTACCTAGCCCATTAAACACTGCAACGTGGAAAGCAACCCCAAATAACTATTTACAATTCACGGCATTTGGTCATGTAATTTCTCTAGTGCATCTATGACATAATGCCTAGAGCACACATTTTCAGCTTGCACCAGTGAAATTGCTTGGCCAAATGTCAATGATGTGAATTGTTGGGTTTCTTTCTACACTGCTTCTTATTGGGCACAGTACACGCACAAGATTACCATTGCAAGCGTACCACAAATAATCGTTCGGACAGGAAAGTGATGTCAGGAACATTAGAGAAATAGTGTCAAAGAAGATGGAAATTCTACTGGTATGAGATTTCATTTGCAGTTGTTTTTCTTAAAAGCAGATCTAAGCATTTGCAGTATTGTAACGGAAGAGCTATATTTAACCAAAGCGTAGTAAAGCAGTTGGATTATTTTGCTTTCCACCTACAAATATTGTCGAACCCATCTTGCAGCATCCATATGCACCAAAGGTGTTGAATATTGATGGGAACATCATGATAGAAACAGTTACCCTGGGTGTCAGCAATTGACATGAAAACGGGAAAAAAAATAGGGGTACTGACTCATTGTATAAGGGAAATTCTGCTAGCTAGTATTTTTCCCATGGTGTTGGATGCTTGATACAAAAATTCCCTTATCATGTGAGGATGGGAACACATTTGAATTGTTTATAAAATTAGGCATCACACATTTTCTCTCCCCTGTTTTTCTGCTTTCTTCACAAGTTAGATTGTTCTCCCCAAAAGCCAATTGCCTTCCCCAGGAAAAATAAATATTCAGCTAACGAGTACAAAAGGAATGATAGAAAATATCATAAGCATTCATCATAGGTTTTGAATAGAACAGGGGCATCAAATTTCATAAACACAAATCTATTACCATTATTCAATTTGTTTCTCTACAGCCGAAGCAGATAAATGCAGGTAAATCCAACTCTATTTGGCTAGAATGTACTGAAGACAAAAGATCAACTAGCTAAACAAGTGGTGGGAAAACCACTAGAAAACTAAAGCCTCTAAATGTGTGAAAAGGTGAAGAAAGGAAGGGGCAAAAGGAATTCCCAAGGTCAAAAAGAGAAGAACCAAAGAGGGAAAGGTCTTATTTAGAAACAACTTGGGCAACTGTGATACTTCTTCTAAACACAAGTTTGCACCGAAGTCAGACTCATGTATGGCTAGCTAGTTGAGAAAGTGTCAAAATCATAGACACCACTTTGAGCACTAAAAACTCACCATTGGTACTTGGCAGCAAGAAGGACCTCCTCATAAATCTGAGCAGCATGGTCCCAGCTGAGATCTTGCATCATACCTCGTCTCTGGAGTCCTTCCCAACTCTGTTTGTATTGTCGGTAAGTCAACAAGCAGTTTCCCAATGCATGTATTAACTTATTTGCATCAGCACTATCAAAAGTCCAACCAAGCCCTGACTCATTGTATGGATCAAAAGGCTGCACAGTATCCCTCAATCCACCAACAGCATGAACAACTGGAATTGTCCCATAGCTCATAGCATATAACTGGTTCAATCCACAGGGCTCAAACCTTGATGGCATGAGTAAAATGTCTGCCCCAGCTGTTATTCTGTGAGCTGTCTTTACAGAAAAGCCAACCCATCCCCTGACTTTGTCATGGTATTGGTTCTCAAACTGCCTCAGCATCTGCTCCAGATCAGGTCTGCCAGTGCCTAACATGATTAACTGCACATCCTGGCCCATCATCCATGGAACTGCATCAGCTATGAGATCAACACCCTTTTGGTGATCCAGCCTCCCAATGAAACCAATCACTGGAACATCTTCACGGACAGGCAACCCAAGCTCCTTTTGTAAGGCAGCCTTGCACTCAGCCTTCCCTGTTTGCACTGTCTCCAGGGAGTAGTTAGTATAACCATCTGATGTTAGGTGCACATCATACTGAGGATTCCAGTCCTTTGTATCAATCCCATTTACTATTCCCCTCAATTTCCAATCATTTTCATTTATGATATGATGCAAACCCCAACCACCTTCAGCAGTTTTAAGCTCCCGCGCATATCCATGACTCACAGTGACCACTCTGTCAGCTGTCTTTAGTCCAGCTGCAAAGATATTAAAGTGGTCACCTCCAATAGGATCATATAATTTGAAAAAGTCAACATAGTGTTCTGGTAGATGCACATAGTGGAAATCGTCCACTGGTCCTCGACCCTGAATAAGGTATATCAGTTGGAATTAATGGGCAAGAAATTCAAATTTATTATCTAAAACAGCAAAGCAACTCAAGCAATAACATTCAAATTATCTATCCAAAAGTTAGCCATAGGATAAAATGGTTGAGGATATCATTGGAGGAATTTGTCTGGGATAAGGAATCTAAAGAATGTCATTTATAATTTCTACAAAAAATTTAATCAAATGATATATATATTCTTCGAGAGGCAAACCTGGTGGGCAATGTTATGGATCACAAGAACTGATCTTGTGTATGTCATCAGACCATTGTCCCGATAATAAGCCCTCAAATACACTGGCAACAATGCAGTATGCCAATCATTTGCGATGAAAACCAGATTTCCATCTCCATAACAGACACCACCACATGGAACATACCAAGGAATCTGAAATCACCAAATTTATTTTATGCTAATGAAGGTCAGAATAATGAACAGACATTAAGCAAGATTCACCAGTTTCAACCACTTGGGAAAGAAGAAAATGAATAATGGACCGTAAAGATGTTCAAGAAAGAATAAATGTTCTGTGAAGCAGACCTAAAGTTTGGTAATTGTTTTAGCAGTTCTGATGTTGGAGAGATATCTGACGGTAAATTTCTCACATAACATGGACAAAGTTTACCATATAACATGAGGCTGTTGAAAAACTCAAGCATTAGGTTATTTGACTTTCTACTTCTTTTTCTTCTGTTTAAAAACCAACTCCAAGGGGGCAACATATTAGCAATATATAATTACTTTTCTGTCTACCACCAACTCCAATGAAAATGCTGATTTCACTAATGCCTTTTTGTTCACTGAAAATATGAAGGAAAGGAAGGAAAGGCAAAGCTCAAAATAGGAAAAATAGAGCTTATTTTTCAAGAAAATATTTTGATAAGAAGTATGTTTGGGACTTCAAAATGGAATTACATTAACAAACAAGACAATAAATTATTTGCATTTTTAGTTTTCCAATTTTGCTTAGGTTTTCCTTTCCTTCAAATAGTGAAATGTGATACAAACTGTTAAGAGAAGTTGTGGATATGGAAATTCAACTGAAATTCTATTCCTCATATATCAGTTTTTAAAGGCTATTTTGAAATCATACCTCAACAGCTGCCTTACAAAATAAAACCATACGCTTCAAAATATCCTGCACAACCAAAACTAGAGATATGTAAGATCCAAACAGCTTAGAGAACAAAAGCCCAGATACCCATGTTATCCAAAAATGAAATTGAATGTATGCAGTTCCTCTAGTCAAAACAAAGGCAATCAGATATTTGTTACATCTAGTCATGAATGAGGTAACTTCTGGATTTGTTTGGGATCAAAAACAAAAATAACAAGCATAGCCATTACAAAAATAATAATATCAGATGTTTATAGTGCTATTCATCCAATAAAATTGATTAATTAAGATGCAAAGGGAGAAAACACGAGTTCATTGGAGATTATATCACCCTTTGGTAAAAATATCAAAGGAACTCAAATTTTTTTTTTTTTTTTACTGGAAAACACTTACTAGATGAAAACTTTCCTTTTACAATAAAATCAACATGTTGTGGCTGTAGTAGCAATGTAGCATATATGTGTTCTAAAACCAAACACCTCAACTAGATTTATCCAATTGAAAACCCAGGCTAGCTAAATTCACAAGAAGGGATAGTTTACCATTCGGTTTCCTCCATATATGTTATTCTCCATGTGGCGAAACATATGACAATCAACAAAAACGAAGTCCACACCATCAATATAGGCTTGAAAATATGCTACTTCCACATCCTGAAAAGTAAAATATCATCAAGCATATTCATCCAGGTAAAAAAGAAGAAGAAGAAGAAGAAGAAGAAGAAGAAGAGAGAGAGAGGGAGAGAAAGAGATCATCATGCACTTGCTGCTCAGAGAAACAGATGCAATACAGCTGAAAACAAAATATTGTGGCTGCTTCTTACCTGACCATCCACCTTATACATTTTCCGCACTCCAGAATCTTGAGGTTCAGCATAATTTCCATAGCGAGGTGCCACAACCTAAGAAAAGACAAGAAGGCTAAAATAAGAGGAACTTCTTATAAAGCACATAGCTAATGGAGCTATCTAAAGCTCCTTAATCTTTTATAATTTCTCCCAGTTGATAGGACATATATTCAGTAAATGTTTTAATGCTAGAAATAGGAACAACTAGAGTTATTAAAGAAAAGAATAGACCCAAAGTATGTAACCCAGCTCAATAACTACAGCTAAAAATACACAAATCTTCTATCTTGATTTTACTTATGTAATGAGGGAAGCCTTGGGAAAGAGATTATTTGATTCACAATAATTCTCATATGCAGTAAATTATATTAAAAGAAAGAAAATTATTACCATAACCCTGTGTCCACGTCTAGCCAAAGCCTTTGGTAAGGCACCAGCAACATCTCCAAGCCCCCCTAGAAGAATTCTCAACATTAGTCCCCAAGGTACTCAAGAAACAACATGATGACTCTACTTTTAGTAACTACTCCAGTAACTTGAATGAATTTAACCATATGACAGAAGCATGCAATTTAACAAAAAGAACAGAAAATCAATTCTCATTTGTTATATGATAAGGAAATGTGACATCCTTGCTACTAAGTATCTGCATGCACATGCAGATACACTCATGAAAGCTAAGAGAACAAATTAAGCATTTCATAAAATTTTACCTTGATATGATAATCTGAATCAAAATCTCACAACTGAGATAAACATGGTCTCCTACTTGGCTTTCGGTCTCTCTTAAGATTTTTAAATAAAACAAAATTAAAGGCATGAACATATAATATAGGGGAAAAAAGAACAAAAGAAAGAAATGAAAGTTGATATTCTGCATTGTGTGCACAAGCACACACTGAAAATTCTATAACATATATTCCTCAAGAGGACATACTGCATAATTTCTAGGAAGAAATCTTACATATGCATTCCTGTATAGTTAGATCATGGGTCAAATGGTATGATACCTGTTTTAGACCATGGAGCACATTCTGCAGCTACTAATATAATATTCATTACATTTGCCCCGGCCAATGGAGGGGGTTTTGACTCTTCAACCACAGGATCATCTACTTCACCAGCAACCTCTTCTAAGCTTGGTCCTTTCAAGCCTTCATTCTCTTCAACTCTGAGACTGGAAGTTCCAGAAGTGCTCAAGAGATAAGAAGGAAGTGAATCAGACTTAACTGCTCCTGAATCAGTGGCTTTAAAAGAATCAGATTTGGAGGAAGCCTTTTTAGAAGCCAATATATGTCCATGCTCCTTTCCAACTTCATCAGGTATGCTTTCTGAGACTTTGGAGGAAGCCTTTTTAGGAGGCAGTATTTGTCCACGTTCCTTTCCAACTTCATCAGAAGGTAGGCTTTGTGAGACTTTGGAGGAAGAATTTATTTTTGGGGATGCCTTTTTAGAAGGCATTAGTTTTCCACTCTCCTTTCCGATCTCATCTGAAGGTAGGCTTTCTGTGACTTCTTTTACAGCAGGATTGATGCCACTTTGTGAAGGAATGTTAACATTTTGGCCTACGTCAACTCTACTTGTAGCAATGTCCCCACTTGAAATGGAGTTATCCATTTGCTCATCGAAAACCTCATCTTCTTGGTTGTCAAGGCTATGCCTTATGGAAGAAACCAATTTCCTTCTTTCAGCAATCTGCCATAGGCAAGAAAAATCAGTAACACTATCAAAACTTGAATGCTCAATAAAGAAAGCAATCAGTTCAATATACCAGAATTGCTTAAAAGATAAAGATCCCATTACCTGATACCACAAACAAAGAATATATATACATCACAAGTTCCATCATTGAAAAGCCAGACTGACTAAACTGTAATTAAAGATTCTATGAGGCTGAATATTAGGTAATAACTAATAACAGAAATTCAGCTACAAAGACATTTATTTTTTTTACTTTTTAAAGTATATTTGAAGAATATGAATGAATGGGACAATTCATTGTAGAAACTCAAACTGCACAAGATTATAGCGCAAAAAGATTATTTTACTTGGAACTTGAGTAACTATAGCTGAACTACAGTGAAAATAATTCATTTAATACAAATGCAATATTAGCATCAGATATTACTCACTGATTGAAGAGTATTGCATTGCCAGCAATTTTCAGAACTGGGAAGTTTTACATTGCAAAAAATTTATACCAAATCTCAAAACACAAAAACTTGACACCTAAAGAATGGATTTGCATTCCCAAATCAACATTTACTATAACAAACAAGAATTGTCACCAAACAAACCTGTTTCAGCAGGTCTCTTTGTATAGCAAGAACTTTCTTGCTCTTCTCAATTGTAGCCTGAAGTCTATCCTCCGGGTCATCATTACCCGCACCTTCCGGCGAACCCACCACTCTAACAGGCTTAAACCTCCGCAGCTGCCCTCTGCTACAGCCACCCAACGCTCTATCACAGCATAAAGAAAACCCCGATGTTGTCAAATCATCAAAAGTCCTAAACTTTCTTGGCCTTAAAGTGGAGAAAGAGAAACCAAGTCGGTGCTCGCTCTTGCTACCAGGAATCAAAGAACTTTCTGCTTTCGTTTGAACGACAAAAGGTAAAGACCGGATAGATGCCATTCCAAACTGTTTGACGAAATGCCTCAAAGAACTGAAAAAGAAAGTTTCTAGTCAGAAAGAAGTAAACTTTCTGTGGAAAATGAGTAACCCAGTTGAGAATCAGTGGAAAAAAACAGAGGCCAAGTGAGAAAATTGGGAGTTTAGAAGAAACCAATATAGGAGGAACAATAGGAGTCAAGAATGGAGGACGGGAAAAGGAAGAGAAAAAACGATGGAAGGAATGGAAGGAAGGAGACTAATCATTACTGTTAGTGAGACCCACATCCAGAAAACAAAGAAATCACGGACGAATATTTGAGGCTGAGAAATGGCTAAAATGGAATGGGAATATTGGTTCTGTCACCGGAAAACCATATTTTGAGATTTGAGTTATACACCAGGTAGGTAGTGTGTCAGCTGGGGCTGTGGGCATTTTTCGACATTGGGCGTCAATCAGGCCTCGAAATATCAATAGTGAGGACAAAAATAATGGAGGGTCATCCTCTCTATAATTTTCAAACGTGGCATCCACCTATTCACCATCCCACATAAAGAAAACGTGCAACCCGTCTACTTCAGTTATTTGTTATACAAAAATAATATAATTATAATATTATATTAAATAATAAATATATAATTTTGTTAAGTTATTAAATAAATAAATTTATATAAGATTTTTTTATGTAAGTAATTTTTAAATATATTAAAAAATATAATATTGTAAATAAATTATTAAATAAAAAATTAATTATATAATATTATATTAAAATTATAAATTTATAATATCGTGTGTTATTAATATTATATTATTTTCATTTGTTTCCAAAAAATTTCATAAATAAATCATTAAGGTTATCCCTTATTTTTTTCCCTTTTTGATAAGTGTCATTAAAGTTAGCAAGGTAAATTTGATAGCTGACTATTACTAAATATCATAAATACGTTGAATATTTTTTTATAAGTAAATATTTTGAAAAATTGTGAAGTGATTTAGTTAGAATAACTTTATGCTATGAAAAGAAGAAATATTCAGCTCTAGATTTAAAAATCCAGTTTTTACCGTGTAACGAATAATTTTTAAAATTTAAATATGCAGAATTATGGTTATCTATATATTGTGAAATGTGAATAATAAGTTTACGGCAAGACAAAAAAAAAAAAAAAAAAAAAAAGAGTATGTAACACGCGTAAAAACGTGCTCATCATATAAAGAATGAAAATTTTCGACATTTTGCTTTTTATTATTATTATTATATTAATTTTTGGTCACCAAAAGTTAGCTTTTAGGTAAATAAAGCATTTGAATGAATAGTTTTTAAATTCAAATAAAAAATTTTAGTTTATCAAGCATTTTATGTTCTCAAATCTCAATTAGGAGAAAATGCTAAAACTTATATAAGAAATAGGCATTTCTTGACTTTTTGGTTAATATAAAAGAAATTAACTATTAGGGATTCATTATTTTTAAATTTCCAAAGAAATTTCTTAATTTTTGTTTGGTTTCATAACTTGACCAAAAAATAATCACTATTATCAACTAAACAAACCCTAGAAATC